TTCACTACTTTCCCAGACGCTGTTCACAGGCTGCATACTGACGAAGGGCAGAGAAAAAGTCCTCATAACTGATGTTCAGGTGGGAAGGCAAAGAGATAATCTCAGTCAATCTGATGTGCCAGGGAAGAAAGCCTAATGTGCTGTCCACAGGACCAAACTTCAATACTAAATCAGGATCAGGAAAACCAGTTGACCTAAGTAAACTGTCGAACATGTCTATATCCAAATCTGTGGATCTCTTTTGCTGCTGGGCTACTAATTGGCAAAAGTCCTGAGCAGCTCTCACAATATCTGCTTTTCCATCTTCTGGGGAGAGCACCTTCACTGCCGATTGGCAATTTAAAACTTGATCATCTTTGTCATTACTATTTGCAAACTCTGGTGGGTATTTCGAACAATCTAAGCCCAAAAGTTCCTGCTGTTGTTTTAAAATTTCATCCATCAATCTGGAATTATTTCTTTTGAAAATACCTCGCCCCCGCCGCCATCTTCCTCCTGCCTCGGCAGCCCCCTGTTGTACACCTGATTCTAATGTTATTTGTCAATTATACCTCAATTAAAAAAGAAATAGAACATACCTGTGCCTTGGAATGCTCCCTTATGTCCCCCTCTCAATCATTCCTCCTACTTCCTGACCTCTCTCACTGTTGTGGACTGACTGCTTGGGTCCTCCCCAAATGCCTATGTTGACACCTCTAATCCCCAACAGGATGGTGTTTGGAGGTGGTGCCTTTAGGAGGTGAGTAGGGTTATTAGATGAGGTCATGAGGGTGGGGCTCTCGTGTCAGGATCAGGAACTTTTTTTTCCCCTGAGTTTGTTGATACCTTTTTTTTTATTATTAAGTTCAGTTAGCAGCATATAGTACATCACTGGTTTCTGACATAGTGTTCAACGATTCATTATTTGTGTATAACACCCAGTGCTCATCACAACACGTGCCCTCCTTAATACCCATCACCTGGCTACCCCATCCCCCCCACCCCAGGGATCAGGGACTTTTTGAAAGAAGCTGTGAGAGAGCCTGCAAACCAGGAAGAGGAGCCTCACCGGGACCCACCTGCTCCAGCGTGTCATCTCCGACTTCAGACCTCCAGAACCGTGAGCGATACGTTTCTGTACATTTCCGTTGTTTGCAGGCCCCCAGACTATGCTATTGTTACAGCAGCCCCAGCGAAGACGTTTACCATCAGTTAGTTTTGTCTGTTCATAAGCTTGTCTGCTTCTTCCACTCGCCATTATGTTTGTCGGATTCATCAGTGTGGCTGAGTACAGCAGTCGTCCAAGCGTGGATGAACATTTGAGACTTTTTGGGGATGGGGGTGCAAATAATGCAGTTGGAACATTGTGCTGGGTTTTGGTAGACCTCTGTCTGCATTTCTTTTGGGTATATATTTCAGGGTGAATTGCTGGTCATGGCGCACGTACCTGGTCGGCTTTGGGAGACACAGCCAGCAGTTCCTCGGTGCTGTCACCTCAGTGTATCCTCCCAACCACCAAGTATGAGGGCTCCAGGGTCCATGCTTGTCTGCACTTGGTATTGTCAGTTTCAGACATTTTAGCCATTGTGGTGAGAGCGGCCACCATTGTGGTTTGAAGTTGTGCTTGCCTGGAAACTAAGGAGGTGGAGCACCTTTCTGCGTGTTTTCTGGCTATTCACCTTTTTTTTTTTTAAGACTTTATTTTTATTTATTTGAGGGGGAGAGTGTGTGAACACAAGTGGGGGTGTGGAGCAGAGGCAGAAAGAGAAGCAGTCCGACTCGGGGCTCAATCCCAGGATACCAAGATCATGACCTGAGCCAAAGGTAGACACTTAACCGACTGAACCACCCAGGTGCCCCTATTCAATAATTTCTTTTGTGTGAAATTCCTCTTTGAGTTCATTTTTCTGTTATGTTGTCTTTTTCTTATTGATTTGTAAGCGTTCTTGTATATTCCAGACATAGTTTTCAAGTATGTATATGTGTACATATTGTATATGCTGGTGTGTTGTGTGTATGTGAATATATATATAATCAAATATCTTCTTTCTTCCACTCAGTGACTTACCTTTTTACTTTGCTGCACAGAAACTTTAAATTTTATTTATTTTTTTAAGATTTTTTTATTTATTTGCGAGAGAGAGAATGAGAGAGAGGAGGGTCAGAGAGAGAAGCAGACTCCCTGCTGAGCAGGGAGCCCTATGCAGGACTCGATCCCGGGACTCCAGGATCATGACCTGAGCCGAAGGCAGTCGCTTAACCAACTGAGCCACGCAGGTGCCCAGAAACTTTAAATTTTAATCTAACCCAATTTACCACCTGTTTTCCTTTAGTGGTTAAGTGTTTTTGCATCTTATTTAAGAAATCTCAGGGTGCCTGGCTGGCTCAGTCGCGGGAGTGTGTGACTCATGATCTTGGGGTTGTGAGTTTGAGCCTCATGTTGGTTGTAGAGATTACTTAAAATCTTTAAAAAAGAAATCCTTACCTATTCCAAGGTCATGAAAATTTTCTGCTGAGTTTTTTTCTAGAAGCTTTATTTTTACTTCTCATATTTTGATTTTTGCATGTTGTATGAAGGGCACAATTTTTGTATGTTACGTGATCTGAGGGTCAAAATTTATTTTTTCCATTTGAATATCCAGCGGGCTCAGCACCAGTAATTAAAGACAACCCTTCCCCGTAGCACCCCGCTGTTACATCTGTTGAATCAAATGCAGGTTTCTTTTTTTTTTTTTTTTTTAAGATTTATTTATTATTTGAGAGAGCGAGTGAGAGAGAGAGAGAGAGAGAGAGAGTGAGGGGAGGGGCAGAGGGAGAAGGAGAGAGAGAGAATCTCCAGCAGACTCTCCACCAAGCACAGAGCCCAGCTTGGGGCTCAATTCCACAACCCCTGAGCCAAAATCAGGAGTTGAATGCTCAACCGACTGAGCCACCCAGGTGCCCCAAATGCAGGTTTGTTTCTAATCTCTCTGTTGTACTAGGGGCCTGTTTATCGCAGTGTCAGTTTATGACAACTATTGATGTCTGGTAGTGGAAAATCCTGGAATTTTGTTCATCTTCATTATTCTTGGCTCTTTGCATTTGCATATAAACTTTAGGATCAACTTGTCAACTTCCACATATTCCAAATAGTCTTGCTGGGATTTTGATTGCTTTGAATCTATAGATTGATTGGGAATATTTGCATCTTTGTAACAAGGATGTCTCTAACCCACAAACCATTTATTTATATCTTTATTAATTTCTTGCAATACTGACTGTAGGCATCTTGCAAATCTTTCATTAGTTTTATTCTAAGACGTGTGTGTATGCGTGCATGTGGGTTCATACATGCACACATAATATAAACAGTAATATTTAAAATTTTCATTTCTACTTGTTTATTACTAGTATGTTGAAATACAATTGATTTTTGTTATTGGCCTTGTATTCAACAACCTTGCTAAATTATTCCAAGAGCTTATCTAGAGATTTCTTGATTTTTCTATACATACAATCATGTTTCCAATAATGACAGTCTTATTTCTTCCCTTCCATTCTTTTTTTTTCTTCTTAAAGATTTTATTTTATTTGACAGAGAGAGACAGCAAGAGAGGGAACACAAGCAGGGGGAGCAGGAGAGGGAGAAGCAGCCTTCCCACGGAGCAGGGAGCCCAATGCAGGGCTCGATCCCAGGACCCTGGGATCATGACCTGAGCCGAAGGCAGAGGCTTAATGACTGAGCCACCCAGTGGTAGGGCACATCTGTGTCTCATTCTTGATCCCAAGGAAAAAGTTTTCAATAATTTACGCTCAATAAGATGCTTATGATGGGCTTTTTGCAGATATTCCACCGGGTTGAGGAAGTTTTCTTAGCTTTCTATGATCTTCTGAGTTTTCTGAGAGTTTCTATTGCTATGAATGATGATTGAATTTTATCAAATGCGTGTGATTCTTCCCCATATTTGGTTAGACAACATTGATTGATTTTTAAATGTTAAAACAATCTTTGATTTGTAAATTTCAATGGCATATTATCCTTTCCATTTATCCCTGGATTTAGTTAATATTTTGCTAAGGGATTTTGCATTATTGTTCATGAAAGACCTTCACTTGTCATTTTCTTGTCTTGTAATGTCTTTATCAAGTTTTGAAATCAAGGTTACGTTAGCTTTACAAAATCAGCTGGGCACTGTTTCATCTATTTCGATTTTCTGGAAGAGTTTATGTAAGATTCGAGTTATTTCTTCCTAAATTGTTTTGAAAGAATTCTCTGGTGAAGCCATATGTACCCAGAATATTTGTATCTTGTGTTCAGAGTTTTTAATTCAAAATTCAATTTAGTAGATACAGGACTATTCACATTTTATATTTCTTGTGTCAGTTTTGGTAAATTACTTTTTCAAGCAATTTGTCCATTTCATCTAACTTTTAAATTACATAAAATTGTTTATGATACCATTACATGATTTGTATGACTTTTTATATAATTTCCTAATAGAGTTGCACGTATAGTACAGATAACTCCTGTGTGCTCTTTACCCAGAGTTCAACAATTTTTTACATTTTGTCCCATTTGCTGTTTTTTTTTCCCCTTAATCATTGAGAGCAAATTGGAGATATCACGCTACTTTCATCCTTAAATATTTCAGTGGATATTGATTTCCTTGGACAAGGCTCTCACTGTGTTTTTAATAACTTGCATGCGTAGTTATGTCATCTGTCAATATTGGTAGCATGTGCTCTTTCTGTTTTTTTTCTTGATCATTCTTACTGTAAGTCTATATATTTTACTTTCAAAAACTTTTGACTGTTGATTTTAAAAAATGATAAATCTGTTTTTTCATTTGTGCTTTTATCTCTATTTGCTTACTTGATTTTCACATATTCTTGACCTTTTTTTGCTTCCTTTGCCTCCTGTGATGGATATAATGGTACCCATTTCTAAGACACACATTTAAGACTACAAATTTCCCTTTAAAAAATACAGCTGTATCTGAAGTCCACAAATTTTATATTTATCCACATATGAACTATATCTGGCACTCTTCATTCCTTTTGTGTTGATCCAAATTTCCATCTGATTTCATTTTCTTTCTGTCTGAAAAAATTGCCTTTAACGTTTCTCATAGATCAGTTCCGCTACCAATAAATTCTCTTGGCTTTTTTTCTCCTTTGTCTGAAAAAGGTCTTTATGTTGCTTTCATTTGTAAAAGGTCTTTCCACTATGTATACACATCTACTTTGATGACTTCTTTCTTTACGTATTTTAGAGTGACTTTTCTATTATCTTCTGGCCTAAATAGTTGGCGGGCAATCTACAATTGTTGTATCTTCTTCTTTTCTTAATGTGCCTTTTTTTTCTTTTTAAACTCTAGCTGCTTTTAAGATCTCCTTTTTTTATCACTGGTTTTCATCAAGTTGATTATAATGTGCTTCTGGTGTCCTTGTTTTTGTGTTTATCTTGCTTAGGCATTGAAATTTCTAGGTTTGTGGGTTTATAGTTTTTAATCATATTTGGAAAAGTTCAGTTATCTTTTCAGATAGTTGTCCTGCCCTCTCCACTCCCTTCTGGAGCTCCAATGAAACAAGCCTCAGACTGCTGGCTCCCATCCCATGGGTCACAAGATTCTGTTTTTCTTTTTTAGTCTTTTTTTCTTTCTTTGTGTCTTTCATTTTGGATAGTTTCTGTAGTTATGTCCAGTTACTGATCTTTTCTTGTATTTGCTGTTCGTTCTATCCAGTAAAAGTTTTATTTCAGATATAATCTTCATCTCTAGAAGTTCCATTTGGGGTCTTTTTTTTTTTTTT